TCCCAGAGTAAATAGTCAAACGGTTTAATAAAAGTTTGACAATTTACCTGGGGTCTGCCAGGATAGGGGCTGTAGTAGGGGATAGATAGTAGTGTGTGTGTGTTAGAGCAGGCAGTGTGTGTGTGTGTGTGTGTGTGTGTATGAGTGTGTGAAGGATTCAGGGTGGGTATGGGTGACAGTGTGTGAGGGGTGCAGAGTGTGTGTGTGTGTGTGTGTGTACGGGAGGCAGTGCATGTGGGCCAGTGTATGTATAGGGGTGCAGTGGGAGCACTGTGTGTAGGAGGGGCAGTGTGTGTTTGTGTGAGGGGTGTAGTGTGTGCATGGGAGTGCAGTGTGTATACGTGGGGTGCAGTGGAAGCACTGTGTGTATGGGGCCAGTGTGTGTATGAAGGTGTAGTAGGGGCAGTGTGTGTATGGGAGTGCAGTTGGGGAAGTGTTTGTGTGTGTGAGCACTGTGTGTATGTGGGTGCAGTGTGTGGGGGGGGGAGACATGTGTGGCAGTGCAGTGCTTGTGTGGGGGTGCACTGTGTGTATGGTGGTGTCCTGTGTGTGGGGGAGACGTGTGTCAGGGTGCAGTGTTTGTGTGGGGGTTTGGTGTGTGTGAGGGAGAAGTGTGTGTAATGTTTGTGCACTGTGTGTGTGTGGGAGAGTGTGTGTGGGGGTGCAGTGTGTGTGGGGTGCAGTGTTTGTATGGGGAGCACTGTGTGTATGGTGGAGAAGTGTGTGTGTGGCTGCAGTGTGTATGGGGAGAAGTGTGTATGTGGGGTGCACTGTTTGTATGGGGAGCACTGTGTGTATGGGGGCTGTGGGGGCAGTGTGTTTGGTGGGACAGTGTGTATGGGGGTGCTGTGCGGGCAGTGTGTTTCAGGGCAGTGTGTATGGGGTGCTGTGGGGGCAGTGTGTTTGGTGGGGGAGTGTGTATGGGGTGCTGTGGGGGCAGTGTGTTTGGTGGGGCAGTGTGGGTGCGGGGGGGCTGTGTGTTTGGCTGGGGAGTGTATGGGGGGCTGTGGGGCAGGTTTGGTGGGTGAGTGTGATGGGGGGCTGTGGGCAGTGTGTTTGGTGGGGGAGTGTGTATGGGGGGCTGTGGGGGCTGTGTGTTTGGTGGGGCAGTGTGTATGGTGGCCTGTGGGGGCAGTGTGTTTGATGGGGCAGTGTGTATGGGGGGCTGTGTAAAACAAATTATTTTTTTAATAAAATATTATTTATAATCCCCCCTCCCTTCCTACCTTTGCCCAGGGAGGGGGGATATCACTTGTAATCCCTGGTGGTCTGGTGGAATCCCTGGTGGTTCTAGTGGGGAGTGAACTCTAGCCTGCACCTCCTGAGGCTAGAGTTCACTCTCGCGAGAACAGAGCGTTGCAAGCTAGAGCTCCTCCCGGGTCTCCTCTCTCCGTGCCGGCTGCCCAGCAATATGCCTGCGGACTGGTGAGGGAGATCTCTGATCTCCCCTCCGGTCCATGAAGGCACTTAGCAGGGCCGGCGCTTGGACAGCACCGGCCCTGCAGGAGAAAGCATCGGATCTCGGGGGGCAATTGCCCTGTTGCCCCCCCCCTGGATCCGCCACTGTCAGGGTGGTGCAGTAGACATTGCTTACCTAGATTTCAGTAAGGCTTTTGACACTGTTGCACATAAAAGGCTTATCAATAAACTGCAATCTTTAAGTTTGGATTCCAATATTGCTGAATGGGTAAGGCAGTGGCTGAGTGACAGGCAACAGAGGGTTGTAGTTAATGGAATATATTCAAAGCTTGGACTTGTCACCAGTGGGGTACCTCAGGGATCTGTACTTGGACCCATTCTCTTTAATATTTTTATTTATGATATTGCAGAAGGTCTTGATGGTAAGGTATGTCTTTTTGTTGATGATACTAAGATATGTAACAGGGTTGATGTTCCAGGAGGGATGAGCCAAATGGCAAATGATTTAGGTAAACAAGAAAAATGGTCAGAATTGTGGCAACTGACATTTAATGTGGATAAGTGCAAGATAATGCATCTTGGACGTAAAAACCCAAAGGCAGAGTACAGAATATTTGATAGAGTCCTAACCTCAACATATGAGGAAAGGGATTTAGGGGTGATTATTTCTGATGACTTAAAAGGTAGGCAGACAATGTAATAGAGCAGCAGGAAATGCTAGCAGAATGCTTGGTTGTATAGGGAGAGGTATTAGCAGTAGAAAGAGGAAGTGCTCATGCCATTATACAGAACACTGGTGAGACCTCACTTGGAGTATTGTACACAGTACTGGAGACCGTATCTTCAGAAGGATATTGATACCTTGGAGAGGGTTCAGAGAAGGGCTACTAAACTGGTTCATGGATTGCGGGATAAAACTTACCAGGAAAGGTTAAAGGATCTTAACATGTATAGCTTGGAGGAAAGATGAGACAGGGGATATGATAGAAACATTTAAATACATAAAGGGAATCAACACAGTAAAGGAGGAGACTATATTTAAAAGAGGAAAAACTACCACAACAAGAGGACATAGTGTTAAATTAGAGGGACAAAGGTTTAAAAATAATATCAGGAAGTATTACTTTACTGAGAGGGTAGTGGATGCATGGAATAGCCTTCCAGCTGAAGTGGTAGAGGTTAACACAGTAAAGGAGTTTAAGCATGCGTGGGATAGGCATAAGGCTATCCTAACTATAAGATAAGGCCAGGGACTAATGAAAGTATTTAGAAAATTGGGCAGACTAGATGGGCCGAATGGTTCTTATCTGCCGTCACATTCTATGTTTCTATGTTTCCATCAGTGTGGGTTCTAACTGTGCAGCTGAGCGGCCGCCGTTCATATGCATGAACAAGTGGGAACTGTGTGGCGCCATCTTGTTCGCGAGAATGCAGACAGCAGTGTTTGGGCATCGATCGCGTGGAACTAAAATCGGACACTGAAACTCCTGAACACCGCTGAACTTGGACGAATGCCTGCTCCTTCCCCACACACGTCAGAAGAGCGCCATTTGGTAGTTTGTTCGTATGGTTCATACGAGCAAACGCTACCAAGAAGCCAGAGTGTGCGTTTGGCATTTCTTTCACATGGAACTCCTGAAGTTGACCGGCCAAAAGCACAAAATACCCTGGAACTGTTTTGGGCATAGGACCATGTGTGCAGCCGGTCAGAACTTTCACACGGTGGCATTTCATTCTTTGGGTAGAATCAACTCTTCAGATGAAGAGTTAGGTAAGACTGGCACTTGACAATGCAATATGTTCCAAATGTTTGTCTATATCCTTCCACCAGAGTTGAGATCACTTTAAGTTGACCTTCACTGTATATCAGAAGTTTCACTGGGAAGCCCCATCTATATCTAATATTTTTATTTCTTTACATTCCTTACTTCTCTACAGGACTGGATTTCCAATTTGGCAGAGTAGGTACCTGCCTGTAGGCGCATTTCCTGTAGGTAAGCCTATTTACAGCACTTCTAATGTGCCATTCTGGAGTTAGGTAGGCTGGGGGAGTATATAACTACTTGGAGCCTTGGACACTGTCCTATGTAGTACAGTAAGCCTTCTACGTTTGGAAGCAGACCTGCAGGAACTGTTTTAGGTGCTGGAAACAAGGTGAGTTTAAACCCCTTCTAAGGGGGCTAAAATGGGCAAGCTATACACTATAGGGTCAGGAATATATTTGTGTTCCTGACCCTGTAGTGTTCCTTTCAGTAATTGATTTGTAACAATTTCAACAATCATGTTTGTGCATACAGTTAATATTGTTTGCTTCATGTCTATACTAGTCATTGTAGAGAGATCATTCTTGTTCTATGTGTCTGGTAAAAAAAAAATCTAAGTAATGTATTACTAGCATGGGTTGAAAGTTCTAATCTGTTATTTGCTGTTGGAGACATGGACAGAATAGATAAGCTGATTCAGAAGTAAGCTGAGAAAGGTTTTGAGTTAGGTCCTCTTGCAGAATCACAAATTTCTTCATGGAGGTTTAACCTTATTGGAGTTGCATATGGTAAATTCTCTCAAAGCCCTTGGTTAATTAAGGACTTGTCAGTGCCTCATAATTCTTCTATAATTCTTCTACAGCCTCAATTCATTCATCCCATTTGAAGAGTTATCTCTCAAATATGTCACTGTGAACACAGCCAACCAGCAAATTGTCTAAGCTGGTAAAAGTACTTGCTGAATCACTCCAGGTGTTTTATGATTCTTTACTATCTTGATTAATTCTTGGTTTATGATCCACAAATTCAGTACATATGGGATTAGGTGACATATTCTCCTTTTTTAACACACTAGATATTCCAGTGGCACCTAATAAGACAGAAGGGTATCACACTTCACTATGTTTTCTGGGAATGAATCTTGACACTTTGGCCATGCAGGCTAGTCTCCCACAGGAGAAACTAGATAGATTTCAGCAGGTTATTCTCAAATGCTCTCAATGCAATACATGCACTAGGCAAGACCTGCAATCACGTTGGGCGTGCTTAATAATGCAATGTGAATTATCCCACGAGGTAGATCTTTCATTTCATGTCTCGTGATATTGCTTTCCTCGGGGTCTGACAGGATTATTCAGTTAGATCAAGCAGCATTAGCAGACCTGCAAATGTGGCAGTAATTTCTGAATAATTAGAATCATTCCTAAATCTTCCAAATTATCTCCTAGATTTTTTTCAGGCGCAGTCACATCAGTTGGATATGCTGCCATATTGGGTAAGCATTAGTTGGAGGATTTTTGGCCTAAGGGGAGCTTTGATCTACCTAAATTTAAGGAAACATTGGCTTTATTTTAAATATATGCTAGGGTGTGGGCGGGGCCTGACTAGCATGGCAGAAGGTCGCAACTTGCCGGAGCTCCCTATCAACCTACTTTCCTAAGCATCTTGCCGGAACTCCAGCCGCACACAGCCTGACCAAAAACGGGACTTAATGTTAGCAGACAACAGCCGGAGTATCCTGGTATGGAAACCCGGGATGCCGACTGTCAAAAGCTATGCGGAGCGGTTGCAGCCTAGTGGGGGCTCCGGGCGGGAGAAATGGCTGTTCTCCCATCCCCTGTCTCTACCCCCCGGAAGGAACACAAAGAGTCCCGTTCTCCCCCCCCCCCAGGGCCGGAGAGGTCATCCCAGTCCACATTTTGCAGCATGGGTGTGCCTCCCGACCCAAACTCAAGCGACAATCCTGATCGACTGGCTGAGTGGGGTGATACCATGAAGGCTGCTGCACACTGCAACAAACAGATTAAAATGGCCGACGCCACGTGGACGCCCGACGACACAGAAGACAAGCAGGGATATGCAGCTATCTTCCAAGATTTCTGGCACAAATTGGAGGAAAAGATGCACCATCCAGCCCAGACCCACACAGTTGCCAACGGGCCACACAAACGACTGCCTGACTCGCGACAATTAAACGCAGAGCCTGCACTAAACGGTGCCCCAATGTGGCGGCAGTCCAAAACACGCCAGAAAAGAGTAGCGAGAGGGAGGGACACGCCGCAACTCTGAATAGGGACTGCCTCACAATCTCAAGCTAAGACACCAGGCACCGTCCACAGTATTCTAACAAGGCCTAAAGACCTACCATTGGGCCCAAAGCCTCCCTCACAACGGCAGGGGTGCGGTACCAGAACAATGCGACAGACCATCCAGAGCCTCTGTTACCTAAAGGTGGCAACAATCGTGAGCCGCCCCCAGCGCCTTCCCAGGCCGAAGACCACATGGAGTCAGTCTCCAAGGCCCCGACCACACCGCCAGAGGCATGCCTGCCGCTGGCGACGGCAAAACACCCAACGCCCGACAAAGGGTCGACCCAGCCTTACCGAGAAACCGGGTCAGTGGAACACAGGTGCAGGCCTTCCTGCTGACCTGGGGCTGGAGAGCGGCCGCAACCTACCCGCACCCTGCTGCCCCCCTGTGGACTTTCCAGACCGACGGCACCATCTTCCCCATCAGAGGTATCGGCTAATCACTGACATCCTACCTCGCAGCTCTACTGGTGAAGCCTCCCTGCTGCGAACCATAAGGGTCCCTCACTGACCAGCTTACATTGTCGCTCTCTGATGGACTCCTGCCTAGCTGACAAGTTCCCCCTTGGCACCTTATGCATATTGTTCTCAACGTATAATTAGCCTGACACTTAAACATGCGTAAAAAATGACTAATTCGTACATCAAACATGTGCCTATTGTTTGGCTTGTTCTATATTTGAGTGTGTTCAGTTTACATTCAGATGGATGCACATAGCTTTCCTCCCTTTTAAGCAGTATGTCTCATCGACCCTGAGGGTTCAATGCTAAGCTTGACTTAATTTTTATATATGTACTATGATAAGCGCAGTTTGCGTTAACTTGGAGAATGCTCATAAGCCATAGACATGTCTAATATGTATAGCTGCGATTATGCATATTTTGCTAGTTACCTATATCTTGAAATCGCATGTTTACTACCTACATAGTGTATCAGCAGGTTACTTCGCACTGAATAGCTATCCAGCCTCAGAACAACTAGCGGGTGACCAGGGCTCACAGGGACGATGCCTTGTATCATACTTAGCCAAACTTAGATAAAACCAGTATACACTCATAGGCAGCCCACAGGAAAACAACCACTATAGGCTCACTCAGAGCGTTATACACACCCAAGGCTCACGCACAGCTGAGGCACAGCGGTTTAACATGTTTATAGACACGCAGCACTCAGATGCTTCCAACGTACTAACTAATGTCTAGGTGAATAGCATGATTGTATTTACACTGTATTTACATTGACTGCATGGCTCCAAGCATAGCTCCAGTACTATGGTTGTAACTTATCATAACCGTTATATGCTTGCCTTTAAAATATTTTATAAATGTTTTCGTTAAACGACTTAAAAAACAAAAAATTTGGCATTACTAAACAAGGAAAAGTATCTACCTAATGCTAATGATATATGAAACTCGTATATCAGTATAAAATAATGATATGAAAAACTCGTACATTTCCCTTTTCTTTCTTCTGTATCCCATCTCATATGCCGCAATAAAATAAAGATTAAAAAAATATATATGCTAGGGTGCTGGTGTGGGGCCCTCATTGCTCCAGTCAATCTGTATTACTTATATCATATAATATGGCTACAGCTGAGAATGTCAATAAGGGGAAATTATGTACTATGACAATTCTGAAATGAATTTGCAACTTAACTTGGTTTTCACTAGTGCATAATTTTGTTTTCTCCTTTTGTCACATTCTAGAAGAACAGAATAAGGCAGTTCAACTGAATAAGGTAGCTGAATAAGAGCTAACAAAACGTTAGTTTTTTTCCCAATTCATGTGACTGCAGATGAGCAACCAACACTATACTCGAGTTTGAAGGACCTGGTTCTGGGTTATAATTTCTATACTCTATACATGGAAAAAACTGATTATTAAATCTTTGTCAAATAGTACTGCCTGCTTATACTCTAGAACATACGCAACCTAGGAGATACGCAACCTTCAGTACTCCAGATGTTATTGACTACATCTATCATAATGCTCTTACAGTCATAATGATGGCAAAGCATCAGAGGAGATATAGTTTGCAACACCTGTAGTGCCAAAGATTGCCTATGTCTGCTCTAGGGTACGGTCACTATTTAAGGAGTGAAGTGCCAAAGCTGTTGTGAATGATCTGTTCCTGTAATATGTTTATGGTAAGGCTCACTATCTCATAATCACTACTCATTGCCCTCCAATCCACACACCACTCATTCCCTAGCTCACACTCATACCTTCTCCTATCTTGCTTCCAAAGCATTGATTTCATTAAAAAAAAGTATCTGGATCTTTGAACACCGCGGTCCTGAGCGGCACTCCGGGATTCACTGGGGGCCAAGAGATCGCGAGAATGCAGACGGAAGTGCAGTGACCTCAGTCTGCATTCTCGCGATCTCTTGAAAGTCACAGGATTCGCGGGATTTGGTGCGCACAATTGCGGGATTTGGTTCCTTCTAACTGCTGGGACAGAAAGAGAGAATGGACAGAATAAAAGGTACAGAATAAAGAGAGACCGAATAAAGAGAGAAAGGACAGACTAAAGAGGGACAGAATAAAAAGGTACAGAATAAAAAGGTACAGAATAAAGAGAGACAGAATAAAGAGAGACAGAATATAGAAGGAACAGAATAAAGAGGGACTGAATAAAAAGGTACAGAATAAAGAGGGAACGAATAAAAAGGGTACAGAATTAAGAGGGACAGAATAAAGAGGGACTGAATAAAAAGGTACAGAATAAAGAAGGACAGAATAAAAAGAGACAGAATAAAGAGGGACTGAATAAAGAGAGAAGGGACAGAATTAAAGAGAGAAGAGACAGAATTAAAGAGAGAAGAGACAGAATAAAGAGAGAAGAGACAGAATTAAAGAGAGAAGAGACAGAATAAAGAGAGAAGGGACAGAATAAAGAGAGAAGAAACGGAATAAAGAGACAGTATAATAAAGAGATGAAATGAAAAGTATGCCGTTTGCAATACATTTTGCATTTAATTTTAATGGTCAGGCAAAATGGTTGGCCCTCACGCATATTCACTTCATCAAATCTGGCCCTCTTTGAAAAAAGTTTGGACATCCCTGTATTAGATACTATATCAGACTTTCCTAGACACCAGCAGCTCATAAGACTTAGCTGGGTGCTTTTTAATTTGTATGCATTTTTTGTAACATAGTATCAGGTTACGTTCACCTGCTTTCTATTCTATTTCCAAGCTGGGAGATCATTCTGACTATCTATATAGGATCCATCTGATTGCCAATTTTATTTATTTTCTATTTTTTCACTTTATCACATTTTTCTGGCACTGTTTTTGTGTGTGTGTGTTTTTGTATCATCCTTATAGGGATTTAATAAAGTTGTGAATTATAAATTTTAATGTTTTCTTATTCCAATGTTGGACTAGTACTTTATTAAGGGTAATAGGATTGGTATTGGGCTTGTTTCTTACTAGACTGTACTAATCTTCTTATTACGTGTCACTTGGATTCACAGGTGCCAGAAATGAAGATTGTGTTGAAGCATAATGCGTACTTTGCAATAAAATATTGCCAAACAGTTCATTAGCACCTGCTAACTTACATCATCATTTTGATCAAAACTACGCAGAGTACAAAGATAAATACCTGACTTTTTAAAGCGAAAACTAAAGGAGTATCAGAAGAGTAAACCATCTATGAGCAAAAATTGTCAAAATGCGAATGAAAAACCCACAGAGGCTTCTTACAGAGTGAGTTACCACATAGCACTTGCAGGACAAGCACACACAATTGGGGAATCACTAATAAAACCATGTGCAAAAGAAATAGTGTCATGTATTTTAAGTGAGAAGTTGAGTAAAAAAATTTAAGCTGTGCCACTTTCCAACAACACAGTTTTGCGCCGTATTCATGATCTTGCTGATGACATCCATACTGAACTAATTTCTCGACTGCATCAATGTGATGGGTACTCACTGCAATTAGACAAGTCCACAGATGTTGCAGGACTTTCAGTTTTGTTGGTTTATGTTAGGTATATTGTTGACAAACAGATTGACTTGCTTCTGTGTGAAACTTTTAAAACTCATACCACTGGTGAGAACATCTTTAACTGTATCCAGAAGTTCATGAACACACACACAGTATAAATTGGGACAAATGTGTAGATGTGTGCAGTGATGGTGCCAAAGCAATAGTTGGGAAAGTTGCAGGCGCTGTGACACAAATAGGAAATATAGCAAAAAACAGCACCAGTTCTCATTGTGTTCTTCACAGACATTCACTGGTAGCTAAAAATATTTCAATCTCACTTAAAACTGTGCTAGATGAATCAGTCCAGATTATTCATTTTATAAAAAGTCGACCATTACAGTCACGACTATTTAAAATTTTATGTGAAGATATGGGTAGTCACCACTCTGCTCTGCTTTTGCATTCAGAAGTCCGTTGGCTATCATGAGGTAAAGTCCTTGTTAGAATGTTTGAATTGTGTCAAGAGTTGTTTGCATATTTCCAGGATCATAAATTTGGATTTTATAGTAAGACAGGAGGCTCGTATTATGCATTAACTTTCTTTACTTAACTTCAGCAGCAAAGACATTTTTCACGAAAGTTTAGTGAATAAAAGACAAAAAACAGAGTAACTGAAATGGAACACTTGGTAGCCAATCAGCATCTGGCATAATCTTTTTTTTTTTTTTTTTGTAAATCTGTTTTTATTAGATAGAGTAATGGTAGTACAGCTTATTCGGTTCAGTGTTCAGCAGATTGAGGTCACATACGACCTGTGTGTATCTGCTGCAATATGTTCAAATAAGGCACAAGCATAACATTCGTTCCTGAGAACAACTCCGTTGCCACTTAACATTATGGCAATCTAGACAACCAACGTTCAGATTATATTGCTTAACTAGTACATAGTTCCTGTCGTTACCCCTCAGGGTGCATTTATATTACGTGATCGGTCAGCCACGAGCTCTCTCTAGCTCTTTTGTGGGTGTTCGTAGTGGGTG